CTCCTAACTGTGTCACAGGACACCCTTCTGAAATGGGAGTGGAAGGCCAATTTCAAATAGGAGTGAAAACACTAAAAAAAAGGTCTTGTGGAAAATAGCATTTTAAACTTAACTTTGAATGGGGCTACAGATCGGGTCAACAAAGGGGCCAAAATACTGAAGTGCTGCCCCTTGAATAATTCAGACTAATTCTTCAACAATATTATGGGGTCATAAAACACCAAGCCTGGAAATTAAAGATTTTTATGCTTCATCAAAAAGTCTTTGAATGTAACTCCCTGGCACACTGCCAACAAGGGCAGCTCTTTGGGGGAAAACCCTATGCCAAAGGCCAAAGAGGCAGCTGTGTTATTCAGCTCCTGAGAGCTTCCAACTCAACACCCACACAAGCTCAATTATGAACAAATTAAAGGGATCCAGACTGAACATAGTAATTCTGGTAATTAAAATAAATAGAGAAAAGCCTACAATTAGTAGGAAAAGATTGATTTTGTGGAAAACCCAGAAGTATCTACCCAGTCTCTTAAGTGACACCCTAACCCCTTTGAATAAGCATAGTTACACCCAATTATTTAAAAATAAATTTCCTTTTATTCATCATTTTAATCACTTCTGATCTGACTTAAATGTGACCATATGCATGCCAGTAAAAGTATCCACACTATTCTGAGGCAAAGGAGTCTCAAAAAAAAATCTATAATGGATTTATAGGAATTAATAACACTGAGTAAAATTGTAATCAGAGTTGAAAACCTGCATTTTAGAGCACATAGATAATGTGTTACCCATTTCGGGAAGGTTTAATATACATCTCTATAGTTAACCGAATGGGCATCTTTTCAAGTGAAGAGATACATTTAGTCATACAAAAAGAATCGAGGATTCACTATTGGGGAATCTATTAATTAACTCACTTATATTTTATTAATAGAATAAAGAGCAAAATATGCACCATCACCTTGTATGGGTTCTTAAAATAATAAAATTCAACATCCATTCTTGATTTTAAAAAAATAAAAGAATAAAAAAACTTTTAGGAAGCCGGGAATACAAAGGAATGTATCGATATTTAGCTTGATAAAATGTTTCTATCAGGAACCAATAGTAAACATTATAATTAATGGTCACACAAGCACGCACATACACACAGTAGAAGCATTCATATTTAATCTTTAAACTGATTTTGATTAGCTAATTCTACAGTTTATATGGAAGAATAAATGCATATAAAGAGCCAAAGTAATTTTACAAAATAAGAAAAATCAGAGGAAGATTATGCTATAATCAAAATACAAAGTAATAGCATGATAATTTAAACAGGGCAACCCTGGCTTGGACCAGACTAATACATCAACAGAACAACATGTCTAGAAACCTGCTCATGTATGTATATATGGGAATTTAGTATTCAATGTGACTGCATTTCAAATTAATAGGGAAAGAATGGAAAAGTCAATAAATGCTATTAATAATTTGCCTATTTATGTGGAGAAAAATTCTCCCACCTCATACCCCGTGGATAAAAATATATTATAGATCACTAAACATTTAAAAAAGGTCTGTAAAGGTACCAAAAAAAAAAAAAATAAATGAAGTAAACAGAAAACCCAAATGTCACAAAGGAAGAAAAGATGAAAGTATTTGACTATAAGATGAAATCTTTTTTTATGGTAAAGGATATCACGATCAAACTAAAAAGACCAATAATAGATTGCAAGAAATTATTTCCAGCATGTATAACAAAGTTCTAAAAATGAAAGAGAAAAAGAATTAGCAAATGGCAACACTGGCAAAGGATATAAACAAGCAAATCAAAAAATAAGAAATACAAATGAACCCCCAAATCCTGCTACAACAAAAAATAAAACTCTTAATCAAGCCCACATTCCGTCAAAAGAGGAAGGGAAATTAAACTGTAAATCAACATTCATTACTATAACATTACGCAAATATTACCAAGAAACAGGTGATATAGACACGTACACAGATGGTGAAGGAAACAGGTACTTTCTCAACAGATATACAGCAAACTTTTAAACCATGCTTGTTTCTGGTGAATAAGTGAAAGAGATGGGGATGAGGAGGCTCTATTTTTGACAATAAGAATTGTCTGTGTTTTATTGCAAAGATGTGGAAACAACCCAAGTGTCCATCAATACATGAGTGGACTGATAAAATGTGGTATATGTATACCATGGAGTACTACTCATCTTTAAGAAACAATGGTGACATAGCACTTCTTGTATTCTCCTGGATAGAGCTGGAACGCATTCTACTAAGTGAAGTATCCCAAGAATGGAAAAATAAGCACCACATGTACTCACCATCAAATTGGTATTAACTGATCAACACAGAAGTGCACATATAAGAGTAACATCTATTGGATGTTGGGCAGGGAGGAGGGGGAGGAGGGGACGGGTATGTGCATACACAAAGAGTGTGATGCGCACCATCCGAGGGATGGACACACTTGAAGCTCGGACTTGGGGGGGTGGGGCGGCAAGGGCAACATACGTAACTGCACCCCCATATAATGCTGAAATAAAAAAAAAAAGAATTGCCTGTTTTTGGAAACATAAGTGAAAATAAGTAAATGGAACCTACTCACCTTTAAAATAGTTTGAAGATAGGAACAATGAATCACTGATATGCAAGTTAAAATACTAGATAGACTCAGCAGCAAAAATGAAAGAAAGATAAATGTGATACTGATGGGGCCCATTAACCTTTGAAGAGTCCTACAGGCTTTGTACAGGAGGAATAGCCAAGATTAATTAATTAACCAATAAATAGGAGGTTCGATCTTTATTTTTTATTTTGAACCATATGAAACTGTTTCTCTAGGTCAAAAATAGTCAAATAGCACTAATTTGGTATTCAATCTAAATACTTTAAGATATTTTAAAACTTTTTAAAGAATGGATCTTGATCCTGCTGGGAGTATTATTCTTATAAACAGAGTCACCTACCTTTTTAGCAAATAAATTAATTTCTGACATTGGCCCAGTACTAGATAGAGAAATAAACTACACACAATATTCCATTCCTCTAATCAAATAGAAAACACACTTTCAAATGTTTACCACTGGGGTATTACCTGAGTTAATTCACTGAGAACGTCAATGCATTTATTAAGCTTATTCATTAGACTGTTCTGGGGAGAAGGTTCAGAATGCTCTTGGAATGCTGAAGCTCAGGGCTTTCCACAAGACTATTACCTTTAAATTGGCACTTCCTGGAAGGGACCAAACTTGGATGATTACTCTAAAAATGTTTTTTTCAGCACGTTATTGAGTACTTCTGCTGTGTGGTGCATTTTAGCCAATGCTTTTACTTTAGTACTTGTGTCCTGAAGAAAAGAGCTCATGGCCTGCCCAATATTGTATTTTGAGCAAACATTACTATTACGGTTGTCATTTATGGTATATATACAATAAAATGCAATGGATGACTGCTAACTCTACATATTTTGCAAGAACTATTTCACTTTAAAAGAGAAAACCTCTCAAAAACAACGTTTTCAGTAACAAAAAATATAAACAGAAATTCTGTTTCTGGACACGCCTTAGATTTTACATTTTACAGATTTGATAATATTTGTCCTGTCTTAAATTAAAATGGAGGCTATTTTATTTTCTTTTGCAGAGATTTTTTTAGAACCATAATACTGGCTGCTCTTTTTTTTTTTTTTTTAAATTAAGTGAGGAAAATAGTAATATATTTCTCCTGTCAAAAACAAGAGTAGTTTTTAGGCATTCATCTTCTTTATAGAGAAATTGGGGAGACAGAACAGGAAATGTTTATCAAGCACTCTATAAAAATGAACTGCTCCTTAAATTATTAGTAATAACTTATGTCACTGTCACGCATTGTTCCTTTGGTTTGTCAAAGGTTCACGCTTGAGAAAATACCCTTTCTGACCAGTGCTCAAGACAGCTTCCTTGTTAAGGTTTTCTATCTGTCTCTCACTATAGGTGATTACAGCAAATGCAACCCAGTGATTTAGTTCATTTATACAAAATAGAATCAATTTTTCTTGTTTCATCATGATTGAGCATTTTCCTGAACTCCTGTAAATGAGTAACAGATAAGCACTATTTATCAGTTTGTTTGGTAAAGCATGAAGTTTTGATTATTTTATTTTCTTGTTGCTACTAATGAAATATATAACATGCCTCAAGAAAATACAATTGTAGATCTTGGCCTCTGAGCCTTCAAGAAGCAGTGAATATTTTGCTGAGAATTTGTTTTGCACCCACACTCTTTTCTAATAGCACTCTCTCTAAGAGTCCATGGGAGGGCAGTGATTTTCTCGGGTATCTGAGATGTCTTCCAGGGTCCCATGTCCCAGGGCTTATATACACAGTTGACAGGGGCCCTTGCTCTGTCCAGAAATTCCCTGTGGTGCTCAGAACCTCAATGAGATTTTTCAGGCATAGATGCAGGGTACCTTGACATCTTCGATCTGGCAAGCCTGAGGGACCCTTCTTCCCTCCAATGTCACAGGATTTGGGGGAAGGGCATTTAAAGAGGTGAATCTTCTCCACTGTTGCCATCCCTGTCCACCAAAGAGAAGGATGGCACCATGGGAGAGGATTCGTTTAACCACATGCTCCTCCGAGGCTCTGCCACAGGTATGCCCATAAGGAATGGAAATGCACTAGCACAGGTGAGAGAGCAAATACAAAAGCAGGTGAGTTAAAGATGCTTATAAATTCAGACACTCCAGAAGGAATTGTGTTTTTCTGACCTGTAAAAGGAGGACAGTTTATCGACCACTTTATAAAAATAAATCACTTTTCTTTCTTTTACAAAGTGGATAATGACAATGAAACGTGTGAGAGGATGTAGGAAGAGAGGATGGCTACTAACCCTTCCTCCAGCCTTCTGCAGACCTTGCTCCCTGATGTTTGAGTTGAAGGAACAAAACCAGGACATTTGGGAAGATAGATGGGCTGAGGCTGGAGAGATGACCTGGATGTCACCTCACCCTTGCTTACCAAGGTCCATGCTCTTCGAAGCTTTCAGATTAATTGATTCAGGCTGCCTGGCCGGTGTCACAGATCTGAAGTTGATGTGCTGATCTGGAAAAAATACTGCTGAATCCACCCCAGAGCTGTGGAAGGAAGCCATACACTGTACTTAGATTTAGAAGATTTAAAATAAAATCTTTTTATAAAAAGGTGTGGGAGGGGGGAAGGTAGTTCTCATTTTGAATACAGCCGCTCATCACGCTCTCTACAGCTTCCAACCATGTATTTTAAACTAATTCTTAAATCTCAGGTTTCTTTTATGAGACATAGCAACTCTGTTTTCATGTATTTTATCACACTGTACAATTTAAATAAAATATTCTCTGAGTAATATCGTGTTTTACTCTTCACTGATTTCTGCTAATTGGGATCCTGCTGTACACTATATAACTTCAAGTGGGTAAGGAGAGCCTGGGAAGCACTAGCACTTCAAAGAATGTCACCAGATATTAGCAAAGCCCAAAAGCAGGTTAAGATATTTCTGTGGGCTAAGCATGCCCTTCCTTTAAAAACAAGTGAAAACGTTGTATCCTTTAGAGAAAACCATTCTGTTGAATGACCAATGGCTGTAGGAGTTTGGTTTTCTACTTTATTTAGTTCTATTTTCTAAAAGTGTTAATGCTTAGCAGATAGTCTGCTCATCAATAACACCAAAAGGAAATAACAGGAAAAGCACAGCTGACAACTTAGACACAAGATACATCAAATGCCTGTTACAGGCTTCTCAGTACTTGCAGTCAATTTAAAAGAATTTTCTTTCTGCTGAATATTTATTTTGGTTAAGGTTGGAGGGGATTATATATGGGAATTACAGAAAATGGCTTATTTCTTGATCTAGGAATAAATTATATTAATATATTTTTAATAAATTAAATTATAGCCACTGTCTCCTTTGGTATTCTCCTCTGTTTAGAAAGTAAATATGATGGCCCATCTCAACGTAACTGCAATCCTAATCTCAAATACAATGAAAATTCAAATGAAGTATCCTTAGGAAATCTGAAAGTACAGAAGCTTAGTTTTTCAAACAGTTGGAGTTTGATACTTTAAACAGCAAAACAACAACAAAAATAACCATTTTGAATGAGAATCCTTCTAAAATGTACACAGGAATCTTGACTTTTAAACTAATTATACCAAAATAAATTTAATCTTTTCTTGAAACTCATCAGTCATGCATGTTTAATATTGTCTTGCAGCAATATTAAAATTAATATGTAGCAATAAGAATACTTCGAATGAATAAATGAACCTCCATTATTACAATACAGTGGGTAGACTGAGGACAGGCACGACACGACAGGCAGCAGAGTGCTCAAGAGCACCGATACCTGAGTGGGTCTGCCCCATTCTAAATCCCGGCGCTGGCACTTACCAGCTGTGTCACCTGGGCAAGTTACTGGACCTGTCTGTGCTTCTGTTTCCTTATGTATAAAATGAGTATAACTACACTCTCTACCTCAAAAGGTTGTTAAGAGGATAGAATGAGTTAATACTTGCAAAGTAAGGAGGTTAGTGTCTGGCGCAGAGTAAGTGCTACAGAAGCCTTTAGTTAACAAATAAAAAGATGAAGACCTCTTTTTGCTTCCCATATGGATATAAGTTTCTGAGCTTTCCAATTACGTGTGCTGTTTGCCATCTCTGTTTCAGTCAGACTCTCAGTAGACTTGTGACTAGAAGCCCTCCTCCCCTTGTGTTTAGAAGGGTCATGTGGTGTGATGGTTAGGGGCCTGGGCTTTGAAGGGAAATGTCAGGGTGTGTGGCCTCAGTTTCCTCATCCATAAAATGGACAGTAATAGAATTTATGCTATAAAGCTTTTGTAAGGAATAAATTAATATATGTTAAATATCAAGAAAAGTGCCTTACACATAATAAGAGCTTAATCAACCTGAACAATTGATAATCCTTTTCTTTATTTCTGTAGGTTAGAGTGGTCTTTAAGGGCCTGAGGCATTCTCCAATACAAAGATTCTACATGTTTTCATAAAAATTTCTCAAGAAGTTTAAATCCACTCTTTTAGAGTTATAAAGCATTTTTTTTTGGCTTCTTTCCTGTTGTCTGGTACATTCTCAATACACGAAGCTCCTGAGATGCAAAGTGTATTAGATGTGGTATCCGGTGATGGCAAAACAAACTGTGAACAAAAATCCTTGACCTGCTTAGTGTTATTGACACTGGCCTGGCCTCATAGCAATACTCTGATTGTTTTCAGCCCATTTTAAGGAATTTTGAGATACTACTATGGACATGAGCTTCTCCCTGAGCCCTCGTGTTTTGGAAGCACTTGCCTTTCAATGTGTTATTCGACCTTTATTTGCACTTAGTTCTTCATCCTTTGATCTCTTGCGATGATGTGGGTTTAGTGTCAGAAAGACTCATGGCCTTTATAGAATCAAAAAATTTAAGAGCTGGAAGGGATTAAAGGTCACCCCATCTTTTAGATAAGATTCTGAGGCTCAAAGAAGAGAACTGATGTTCCAAGGTCATACAGATGGCCGGGGGCAAAGCCAGGACCAGAGCTACAAGCTTTGGCTAAGATGGTCGTCAGCCTGGGACACAGTTGTGGCTGATCCTGAATTCACAAAAATCAAGCCTTTCCCTTTTATGGTGCAGATTTGTTCACACCGCCTTAGGGAGTTTACATTTTAGGTTAGCTTTTTGTTTCAACAGAGTGGTGTACATCATGGAATAAAAGAAAACCAAATAGTTGATAAAGCAGATGCCATACCTTATGATGAAAGCCTCCAGGGAGTAGGTTTAGGATCAACATGAATATTCCTCATTAAAACATAGATCACACTGCATTTAAAGTGCTCTGCTCAAGGCAGACTATGGGAATCTACCCAGCTGAATAATAATGTATTGATGAACCCAATTCATCATCTTAGATAGCTTACCAAAATAGGCATTAATTGACAAATTAGGAATAAGATTCAAATTTTCTCCTATTCTTGAGTAAAAATGATCCCAATCCTCATTTAAAAAGTAAGGTGGCAATGCCACTTGATATAGTAACATCGTTAGTATCTGTCCAAATAAAGAGAATTTTTACACAACCGTTGGAATGTAATCAAGAATGATCAAAGAACTAAAAAGCTATTTTTTAACATATAAATATGACAAATATTTATATATATCATGTCCATTAAATTGATTGTAATGAGATATATATGTGTGTGTGTTACCATTATTTTGATTGTGACCAAGTGTACACTTTGAAACCTTCAATAAAAGGGTCGCTCTTGCTGTGGCACAAAATGAAAATAAGGCAAAACAAGGCTGATACTAGACTGGCAGATATTTAAGGAGAGAAGTGAGTGTAACATAAGACATTATGGGATTAGAGCCAATGTGAACATATAGTGCACTGAAATAATGAGTGAGTGTAGTATTGAATTAGTTAATGTGAAAATATTTCAGACATGTAAGTTTGACTAATAAAACGGTTTGTAATTTTACGCTACATATTGAAAGTGTTTGGTGTGAGAGGGTAACACAATGATTAACTATAAAATATGACATTTTAATTTTGAAGGGAGCTAGTATGTGCTCATGGCTGAGTGGGCTGCAGTAGGGGCTGTGGGAAGCGGGAAGCTGACAGCAGGCCAAAGACACGTCTTAGATAAAGGCCGTGTTTTCAGCATGAACAACCAAGGAATCTACCAGATAGAAACTATACTCAATGTCAAATTATGCTGCCTAATGAATAAATAAGGGTAGCATGAAACATATGCCAGTGTCCTGACTACAGTGACAAACCAGGAATGTGAAAGACACATAAGAGCCAGCAACGAATGTTCAAGGAGAACTGTCCAAAGTAAAAAAGTAGGGGATGAAGATTTTGAGAGGCATGCCAAAAAAATTACGTCTGAAGCCTCGGGGTGTCCATGGATTGCCTCCAACAATTGGCTACTATGAGTGAGAGTAAATGCAGGTATGTGTGTGAAGTAAAGAGACAGGGACAGAGGGAGAGAGGGAAGGAGGAAGGGAAGGAGGGAGGGAGAGAGAGAAAGAAAATGTGAATATGTAGGGAATAAGCAATTGTTTCCTAAACTGTTAATAACACTCATATTCTGTCTGCTGTTGATTTGCCTTTAACTCTCCCTGAGATCTCACAGTAAAAAAATATTTCCCTTATATTTATTTATTTAGATACACACATTCTAAACTTTTCTCTCATAATCATTGACATAATAGTACAAATGGGTTCAGCAATTTCCTGATTTCATTTTGTACAGGCATTAAGTTTGATCCAATTTGTTTTTCCTTCCTCATGCAATAGCAAGCAGTTCTCTTTAAGACCTGGCTCCACCCCTCAAGGGCCCCTGCTCTTTCCTCTTAGAAGGCTTTTACACTTGTTTTGAAAAACAGGACAGCCTCCCTTGCTCAACCCTCCTGGCTCCTTTCCAATCCTTCCTCCATCTCAACTTTCACACATCCAAACCCTGCTGCTGCTGGTCACCTAGGCAACGCAGCAGCTTGCAGGATGGTGCAGGTCACAGGATCCCAGGAGAGGGAGTGTTTCAAGGCATGAGACTTATTCCTTCCATTTCAAAATGTCTCTGTTCTTTCTTCTCCACCCAGGCTCCCTCCATCCCGCCCACTCATCTCTTGTTAATTTCAAGTCCAACTGGCCTTCTAATCTATGGAGGCTTCCTCCACCCACCATTACTGCAGGCCCCAACCCCCCAGGCCTGTAGGAAACCGGCTGCACAGCAGGAGGTAAGGGGCTGGCTAGCAAGCAAAGCTTCATCTGTATTTACAGCCACTCCCCGTAGCTCACATAACCGCATAGGCTCCGCCTCCTGTCGGATCAGCGACATTAGATTCTCTTAGGAACGAGAACCCGACTGTGAACTGCATATTCGAGGGATCTAGGTTGCATGCTCCTTATGAGAATCTAATGCCTGATGACCTGAGGTGGAGCTGAGGCGGTGATGCTAGCGCTAGGGAGTGACTGCAAATATGGATTATCATTAGCAGAGAGGTTTGACTGCACAATAAATGTAATAATGCACTTGAATCATCCACAAACCATCCCCGTTCTCCCCCTCCGGGTCCATGGAAAAATTGTCTTCCGTGAAACCGGTCCCTGGTGCCAAAAAGGTTGGGGACCACTATACTATCTTCCATAACTGAAATCTCTCAGCCGGGTAACATCATCCCCAGGCTCTCTGGAGGAGCACGGCGTTCACGCAGCATGGCAGACAAAGCCTTTCCTCTTGATTCTTCCCTTAGATACGGTAGGCCTCAGCTACACTGAACTCACGATGCATTCCCCTCTCCCATCACATGGTTTTCCTAACCTAAATTGCCCTTCCCACCACTTCTCTGCCTAGTGAGCTCTTTTCCACGCTCCGAGAAACCACTTAAACACTTCCCTCCTTCCTTGACACCTGCAGGTAGAGTCAGTGGCTCATTCCTCTGGGCTTCCACGGCATTTTGTATCTAATGCTTAGCAGGCTGCATTCTAATTATCTGTGTGTCTGTCTTCTCAAGAGGACACCGTATTTCTTGCTGGCAGGGGTGTTTTCCGATCCATTCGAGTTCCTTCTACAGTGTCTGGCTTAGAGCTCCAGAAATACTTTTGAATGGGTGGGTGAATGAACGCCTTAATAACCAAATACTGCAGAGTGGAAAAGAAGAATAAAGTCTGAGAAAATGTCATACTTTTGACTGAAAGGAGATTACTGTTGATGATTAAAAGAAAGCAGCTCTAGTAAAACGGTGAGAACAGAGGCCTTTAGGGAGAAGGAGGGTGAAAGAGAATGGAAGCTACTCATTCATACCATGTAATGAAGATTTACATTAGTGAGGACCAATATAAGCTTCCCCCCTCTGCCCACCCAAAACCACAGAGGAATGTGCTTTGCAGAAAAGGGAAGAGAAGAAATCTGTGGAGTCATTGAAGAAGCCAAAAAGGGATTTGTTAAATCCCAATAATTCTATCTCTGCAACGATCTCTGAGGTACCTCTCTCTCCTGCAGGCCTTTCATCTGAGCACTCTCCCACCCTCCGCTGCACGGGTCCTCGGTATCTCTGACTGCCAAGAGCCCCAGGAGGTGCCAGAGAGTCTCTGGCTGCCAGTCGGTATCAACCCTCTTCCATTTACCCAATTCATGTTATACACAAGAAAACTCCAGGTTTTATCACATCTATTGTCTGCTAAAACCCTACAGTAAGATTTCCTATCTACCAAAGGAAGTCTGTGTACTTATCCTAGCACTCTGGGCTTTATTATCTGGCTGATCAGCCGCAAGTTGTGCAAATCAATTTACTTTCCCACTCCATTCTATTTCTTCTGTCCTTCCCTGTCTCTCTGAAATTCTTCCTGGGCTCATCTCAAGTCCACCCCCTAATCATGAGTTCAGCAAGAATGACACTTTTACCATTGCATTTTCTGCGATTCCTCTATCTGGAAGCATTCTCCTCTGCCTCAGAAGCCCAGAGCATTTTATCTATACCTTCTGATGTAGTACCTTATGTTCTAGTTGTCCCATGAGTCTAGCTGCCAGCCTACCAGCTTCGTGAAGGCAGGTTTATATCTGATTCATCTTTACACCATCCCCCTGGTTGTGCACATATACACAAGATAAACAGTAAGGCAGAACAAATGAAATTATTTTTAAAATGCATTTTTTATGCCACCCGATTGCCATTTTTGGTTCAGGATCGAGGCAGGCAATGGAAGTGAATGAACAAAATTAAATATGTCCACCTTTCTTTCAAGGAATCCCCAGAGATACTGATCAAGAACATTATTATGATTATCAATCTAGCTCATGAAATTGTAGTTTAATAAGATAACTGGCTTCAAAAATATAAGAACCAGAGATGGCAAAGTGTAGGTAAGCTTCCATCTAATAGAGTTAGCTATACTCTGGTTGTGCTGCTTTATTTTTAGCAGATTGTATTAAAAAGCATAATAGGAATGACACCAACATTGCTGCAAGAAAAATGAAGAAATTTCACAGGATTACCATGGGACATAGAATGGAATAAAATACATGGTTTTTAACAGCCATAATAAATACAGAAAATAGCAAAGGGACATTTTAATGATTTTTGAAACTCATCAGAAGAACAAAATCTATGAATTCCACTAGTCAAATAGTATGTATGCTTAGTAAATCTCTCTCCTCATGCTTGTGTGATTCTAAAACTTATTGATTTTTTTCAGTTTCTATTACAGACTGGATATAATATTGGGTACCCTTTTCAATATTTTAGATTATGTATGGTGTTGCTTTAATTTTTATATTCCATTAACTTTCTTGGAACATCTATTTTTAAAATACCTTTAGGGTTTGCCAATTACAAATAGAAAGAAAAACCTAAGCTTTATGTTTTCTCAGTTTTGTTTTATACTTTCCCATATAACTTTTCTTTGAGCTCCACTGCTCTAGTTTTTAAACTTATAAGAGAAAATTCAACCATTTTCTTAAATATTTTAATAATATGAGATGAATCTTAACAAATTCTAGGGAGCAAGATATGAACAATCTAAGCTATTCACCATGAGATGCTTTCACTGGAAAGGAATTATAGATACTATAAGATTTCCATTCTGGAAAGAAATAGAGTTAAAATAAGGTTGCCAAGTTTCCCCAGAAAAACAATAATGGGGAACATTTACGATATATCATTTTCTCAATACCTGTGGCTGTAATCTTCAAGGCCCAATTCCAGACCAGGATGTGGCGGTGGTGGGGAAGGTGGTACTTCGCTCTCAGCCCATCCGTCAGTGGGAAGCAATAGGTCTGTAAACACAGAAGGAATGGAGCTGTAGTAAAGTCGAGGCAGCACCATTTGGTCTCTGCTTTTGTTTCCATCTCTCACACACAATTCTAACCAACACATAAACCAGCCCTGAAATACATAAGTCCTCACGCGGAAATGAGGGTTTCTTATGAGAACTAATGCAGCTTGTATGAGGAAAGCTAAGGCTGCTAATATGTTTTTGCACTGGTGACCTGCTGGCAACCCCTGGCAAATCAAGTCCATGCATCTTGACTACCTTTTCCCCCAAACAGAAGGCTGACACGTACTCATTACCTGTGATTTGTGGAAGATTAATGAAGTCATCTCTTTTATGCCTTAACGTTTTTGTAAACAAGACTCTGTAATGAATACTCTGGATTATGTGGTGATTTAAGCATTTGTCTCAGTGGAAAAAGAAACTTAAAAAAAATCACAAGATATAGTATATCTACTCATCATTTAGACATAGTAGAGGATAAAAAAAAAAAACCACTCTTTTTGCATCTGTTCCACAATGGAAACACCTGGGTTTACAGCCCTGTGAGCAAAAGACTTGAGTCTAAATCCTCATTATCCTGCCTACCAAAAATGTATACTTTTCCAGTCAATTCTGTCCTAGAAAAATAGATATGTGTGCTGAATATCACTACAATTAATAAAAAGTAAGGTTTGTTATCATCTTATTGTATGCCAGATATTGTGCTAAGCATTATACACATTTCATTTAATGTTCATAATTAATGACAATATTAACTAATATATGAAAAGCATTATAGATCATCTCAGGTGAGGGTATGGTTTTTAGAGCAAGACTGTTAAGTTTCCAACCCTACTGCTGTGTGAACTTAGGCAAATTACTCAACTTCTCCAAGCCTCAGTTTTTAAATATATAAAGTAGCAATAAGAATACCTTCATTGGAAGAGTATGAGGATTAAATGAGATGGTACATAGTCAAACAGTGATTTATAAATGCAAGGTGTTAAGTAAATGGAAAGAACTATTATTCCATAAATCATAAGTTCTACTGTATGTCTCTCAGAGTGAGATATTTGGTAAAGTGTGGGCCCTATTTGTCCCTGATTGAGAGAATAAGAGAAAAATCTCTCTTTCCCTGAGAACTGCTGCTGGAAAGAGAACCTGCTTTGACTTGTCCACACACCAGGTGACATGGTTAATTTTATATGTCAACCTGACTGGGTGGGATACAGGGTACCTAGATATTTTTCTGGGAGTTTCTGCAAGGATGTTTTAGATGAGATTAACATTTAAATCAGTAGACTGAATATAGCAGATTACCCTTGCTAAATGTGGGTGGGCACATTCATCCAATGGGTTGAAAGCATGAATAGAACAAGAAGGCTGACCCTCTCCTGAGTAAGAGAGAATTCCTCTCGCCTGAGTGCCTTTGAAATAGGACATCAGCTTTCTTCTGCCTTTAGCTTTGAACTGAAACATTGGCTCTTCCTGGGTCTCAAGTCTGCTAGCCTTCAGGCTGGAATTGAACCATTAGCTTTACTGTTTCTCAGGTGTCTGGACTCAAACTACACCATCAACTCTCCTAGGTTTCCAGCTTGCTGACTCATCCTGCAGATCTTGGGACTTGCTTGCCTCCATAATCAAGTGCGCCAACTCCTTATAATAAGTCTATTTATAAACACTCCCCGCTACACACACATCTTATTGGTTGTTTCTCTAGTGAGGCCTGATGAATACACCAGGCAAGGACCTGCTCCAAGCTCTGCCCCTGGGACCAGTCTGATATGCAGGTAGCTGTGGCAGTGCTGACATGTCCCTGGGAATGAGGATCGAAGCAGGAAATCCGAGGAGAGTAGGTGACCAAGGTAAACAACCGTGATGAGCAGAGGCAGCTGGCTCTGCCCCCTGCAGCCCCCAGCCCCCAGGGATCCAGGATGTCCTGGCAGCAGTCAGGCAGCTAGAGACTTGCTAAGACAAACAGTGCAGAAGGACCATAATGTGCATAGGAGACAAGAGACACGTTAGGACAATATCCTTTCTGCCGGCTCTAATCTTTCTATCCTCAGCCTCTCGGGCCATCTTCCACACTGGTGGTAAATATTTGTGACCATGGAACTTGTTGCTCAAAATCACTTCAGTTGCACACAATTGCTTACAGAGTAAAGATCTGTGATCCTGGCAACCAACTTCATCACCTGTAACACACTGGCCACCCAAGACCACACTCCCTGGGCTTTCCTGCCTCAGTGTCTTTGCTTATCTAACTGCAAAAGCCACTGTGCCTGTCAAAGTCCTCCTGTTCTCCCAAGGTTCACCTCACATATCACCTTCTTCATGAAGCCTTCACAGTTGCCTAGGGTCTGTCAGTACCTTCATAACAGCCGCAGAGGGTACTGGTGCTCACCAAATCTGCACCCTTCCTCTCTTGCTGGGCATACAGCTAGATACCATTCTTCAGCCCCCTTTGTCCCCAGACTAGCTCTTGCCAAGGGAGTGTGAGCTGCTATGAAAATGCCATTCCCATTCTCAGGGGTTAAGAGAGAGGGTGCACCTTTTCCACTTTCCTCCCCCTTTTCCCAATTACCACCCCAAGCCAGCTGAGGAGGTGCTAGAAAGTGGCCCAGCCACCAGTGGAAGGTACCTGGCTCCCTTAATCACCAAATGGGCTAGCAAGCTATGGCCATGGCCCAAAACCAGCCAGCCACCTGGCTTTGTAAATAAAGTTTTACTGAACACGGCCACACCTACTGGTTTATGTGTTGTCTACGGCTGTTCTGCACTACCATGGTAGAGTTGAGCCGTGAAAGAGATCCTATCGCCCACTAAGTCCGAAATATTTACTATCTGGCTTTTTGAGGACAAACTTTGCTAACCCCTTTGCTAACTACTCTTGAGAGCAATGGTGGTATTGCATTTATCTTTGCATGTCTGGTAGTGTATTCTACAGAAAGGAGGTATCCAATAAACATTAGTCAAACTGAAAGGTATAATTCAATCTCTGATCACTACTCCAGAGGTAAGGCCTTACATGCCATAGAGGGGAGATGCATGCTGGTTCCCAGGATATGCATTAGGAATAATTATACTATTTGTGTCTCCACAAAGGACCCCAGGGAACAGGACACAGAGCCAAAACATTTGAAGTGAGGTAGGGATAAAAGCCTAACTTCAGGGGGTGAAGCCTAACTCAGACTTGGGGGCAGTGGGTGACAGGGTGCAGTTGAGCTAAAGGCAAGGTAACAGGGGAAGCAGGAGAAGAGGACAGAAGGGAGGAGAGCAGTGAAAGGAGAGTTAACAGCAAACTGGAGTTGAGCCACACTGAGGCTATCACCCGCCTGGGGTAAGATCTGCCGGCAAGACTCCTCAGAAAGTGCAGTGTTGGTGCACTTCATTACCATCCAAATGCTTAATAGGATTTCACAGTGAACCCCTGGGACACAACCTCCATCCTTATTACCACCTTGGAGCACCACACTTATTTCACTACGGGCATTGCTAGCAATTCTTCAACACAAATGTGAATTTACTGGTGTTACAATTTCTACAAATATTAGTTCTAAAAATGTCTTTTCTGTGTAACAGCTTGACAGGAATAAAAATATAAAATAAAATAAGCAAGAACTGTGGGTGGTTTGTACTATTATTACAAAAATAGATGGAACACAGAATATCAACATTGGATTTTTAAACATACAAAGGAAAGGAAAAAGGGAAGAAAAAAAAAAGTTAATGTTTTGGCTCTAACAGTTCCTCTCCTCACCAGACATTACATTTTGTCAAGTTAATCTTGTTTTTCTAAAGGAGGTCCTTAAAAAATATTGGTAGTGGTGAGTCAACACTCAGGTTTTATGAGTCTTAGCGGCTTATTACCACCTTACATGCATCTGAAACTCAGGAACTCCCAATAGTTTTCAAAATGTAAAATGTTATTAATATTACAAAGAGGTGATGAATATGACATTCTCTTATAACATAGTGTTTATACATTCTGTTAAATTATTTTTTCTCTAAATCAATAGGCTTATATAAAAAGAAAACCTCATCTATTGGTCTCTAACAATTAAAATTTAATGAGTCTTTGTTTTGATAGGCATAATTCCTGTAATCTAGTACTGTGGCACAGATCCACAAAGATATAATAATAGACTTTCTCTATTTAAAAAAAAAATAAGGTTTAGTGGAGTCATCTCTTAAAAGAAACAGATTTTTTATTTTAACTTGGAAAATTGAGGTAGAGACAGAATTAAAACCGGAACCTTTGAGGTAGTTAATCAGTATAGTTTTCTTTTTTATTGGTATAAAAATTGTTCTACCTTGATCTATGTCTCAGAAGAAAGAGAACAGACAAAATCTCCCAGTGGTTGCCTGTGGCCACTTGCACCCAAAGGACTGTATTTGCTCAGCAAAGAGACAAAGTCTGAACGTTCTATTGACCTTCTCAATGCCTTGAGTGATTTTATTATTTAAAAATTCTTCTGGGTGTATCCTTAACTAGTTCTGTAGTGCCGTTATTTCAGCCTTGGAAGAGATATTACCCCATTTATTTGAGCACCTCGATGCCCTCTAAAAATATGCTGTGTATCAAAAAAAAAGTCACTCATCACTTAATGTTGGGGATATATTCTGAGAAATGTATCCTCAGGTGATTTCATCTTTGTGTGAACATAGAATGTACTTAACCTACTATACACCTAGCCTATGTGGTATAGCCTATTGCTCCTATACTAAAAACCTACATGGCATGTTACTGAATACAGTAGGCGATTGTAACACAGTGGTAAGTATTTATGTATTTAAACATGTCTACATATAGAAAAGGCACAGTAAAAACATGATATAAAAGATAGGCAATGGCACACCCATAAAGGGACTTACCATGAAGGGCGCTTGCAGGACTGGGAAACAGGACCCTGGGTGAGTCAGTGAGTGAGTGGTGAGTGAGTTTGAAGGTCTCTAGGACATTACTGTGCACTAGTGTAGACTTTATAAACACTGTACACTTAGGTTATACTACATTTATAAAAATTTTTTTCTTCCTTCAATAATCAATTTACCTTAGCTTATTGTAACTTTTTTACTTATGTCCTTTTTGACTTTTTAATAAAACAGCTTAAAATATTTTGTATAACTGTACAAAAATATTTTCTTTCTTCATATCCTTATTCTATAAGCTTTTTTATGTTTTTAAAATTATTTATTTAATTTTTAAAACTTTTTGGAAAAACTAAGACACAAATCCACTCTAGCCTAGGCATACACGGGGTCAGGATCATCAGTGTCTCTGTCTTCCATCTCCACATCTTGTCCCCTGGGAAAGTCTTCAGAGGCAATAACATGCATGTGACTTCATCTCCTGTGATTATAATGCCTTCTTCTGAATACCTCCCAAAGGACCTGCCTGAGGCCATTTTGTAGTGAATTGTCTTTTTTTTTTTTGTAAGTAAAAGGAGTACACTCTAAAATTACGATAAAAAAGTATAGTACAGCAAATACTAGGAAATAGGAATTTTTCATCTCCATTATAACCTTAGGGGACCACCATCATATATATGTTCTATATGGTACATGACTGTATTTGATAGATATTGAAAATAAAACAAGATAGGAGGTAAGGTACTCAATGTTCCCTTGGATGGCACTGGTGTAATTAGGAACAAAATCCTAAACTTAGTCACTGGACCACGTTGTTGCTCGAGAATTAAATGTCAATCGAATTATATAAAGGCTCGATATTTTGATATAGATGTCAACATGTATGATCATAATATGGGCACAGTGGAAAAAAGCCTGTTCTATTCTGTAGAAAACTTGCTGTTCTTTCCCCAGACTCTCTTGCTATTGTGATTTAGAGTCTCAGAAGGAGATCTCACCCTGTCAAGAAAACTTATAATTTAAGACAAAAACCAAACATGCTATTTCTTTATCTAGATAAAAAGTAAAGTCAGCTTCTAATAGACATTCTTACTATTAGGTGAAAGGGCTTCAATAGTTTCAAGAGCCCAGTGTAAGTCAGTCAATGCAACTATGCTATAGTTTAGGAGATGAATTTATGTCAGAGAGACATGAATTGAATCCAGAGTCTGCATGTATCAAGTATGCAGTCTTGGGAAAATTATTTACTCTTCTTTGACTTTCTAGTTCTTCATCTGTAAAATGACGATAATATTGCCCACTTTGAGTGTGCACGAAAATTGCTTAACATAGTATTTAACAGACAGTAAACACTTAATAAATGGTAACAGCTGTCGCTACTACTCTTGCTAAAATGGAAGAATTCTGAGGAAAAAAACAACATCCCACTCTGATGAGACAATTTAATTCTAGAGCAACCTCAGATGTGTAAGTCTGTTCTGTTGGAGTAATCTCAAAGTGTGGAATTTATTCCCACATAGTCAAATTTTGGTAACATCTTAAGTGTCCAAAATATAAGAAATTGATTACATAACATATAGCACCTCTGTTCAATAGACTACTAGTGATTACTGAATATTATGTTGTAGAAGAATATTCAGTGACAAAGTAAGATTCTCTTAATATGCTATTAATTAAAAGAGCAATTTCCTAAACATTACATACAGTGTATTTCATTTTTATTTCATTTTATGTACACGTATTTGCATGAAGACTTGAATGATATATATAAAAACGTTATTGATTAGGATCTTTGATAGAAGTATGAGTAACATTAAATTTTCTTTTTATTGCTTTCTCTAAATTTTCTACAATGAATATGTATTGCTTTTGCAATATAAAAAATGAAAGTTATTAAAGCAAAGACATACAGGGAGATAAAATAATTTTCTTGCTGACCTGAAGTATAATTTTTGAAAAACAGTAAGAAAACTCAGGTTTTTTACATCTGGAGTCTTCTAGAAATGTGACTCTTACCAGACGATAAGGGAAAGACAGTGTAGCAAGACAATAACAAGAACATTCCAACTGTCACATGACAGTTTCAGGCCATGATATTTACCTATTTACCACACTCAGAATGAAGCATAAATCTGTGAATTGTGCTATGACCATTTTATGGTTTCATACAAGTCCATATATCTCTTTAGTTTAGTAGTTATTTATACCTAGTAACTTCCAATATTAAAAGAGCTTTAAAAAATAACAGTTTGCCATCTTTGATTCTCCAGTCATGGTTTGTTTTATACATAACCCGCCATGTTTGGGGCAGCAAGCACAGAAACTGTCACTTAAACTGGAGGCTTTGCCAGGAATCTGATTCACAAGTCTGAGTCAGTTCTCCCACTCATCTCTCAGTGTTCATGACTTAGTCTAATTAACTCCCCTTTGCTCCTTTTGTCTTTCTTTTTTTTAATACAAAGGCACTTTTGCATTTTCTCGCTTCATTTGCAGTGGACAAAAATGGTTAGACTCTTACCTTTCTGTTTGTCTTGTGGACTGTAAGTGCCAAATGGATGCAGCGTACTATTATCATTTCGCCTGGAGGTGGTTACAGCGTTTTGACAGTTCTCAAAGCATGGCTTGGAAAATGCCCCACACTCTGCAGGCTCCTAACGGATGAAAATAAAAATTACATTTGCTTTTTTTAATATGTTCCAACTTGGTCAACTGAAGCAAAGCGAAAGAATGATCAATTTATGAATAGCCTTTCAAGAGTCTATTACACATAAGTTCTCAACTGTGGAAAATCAAAATGGCCCTATCAGTTAAAACATCTTTGAGTATGAGACAAAAAACAGTGACGATGCGGTGCTAAGGATTAGGAGTGCTGATGGCCAACACAAAAGAGGATTAACTTTATTATTTTCCCCCCACTTACAACTGGCTTCTTTCAGATTTTCTTCCATCTGGGAGTGCAGCTTGTGGCAGTGTCAACACAAGAATACAGTTCATGCCAAGGGTGTTTCTCTGCCAACCAGCTGGTTCCTCCCTCTCTCTGCGACTAAGTGCATATGCTCTAGGACAAGTCAGAACCCAAGCAGGTTTGCCACTGAAATGTCATGAGTGTGTCCGCCTGCAGACACTAGGCCTTTTGGCCAGGAGCTAAACCAAACTGCTGTGACAACGCCAGACAGTTGTTCTCCTGAGGTTTTTTTTCTTTTTTCCCATACTTTCCCTTCCTATTTTGCTTTTTACAGACTGTAAACAAATTCAAAACCGCTGTATCCAGATTAAGATGCCCAAAAGCCATCTTCCACAGGTGCTGAAGGGTTAATAGGTGGGGGCCGGTTATAGAGAAATCTACCTATTTTTTCAAGAGACTGAGGCACAGAGAGCTGGGTTTTGCTCTGGCTCATGTTATTTGTCTCCCTAACAGATTTTAATGAAGTAAATAATTTGGAAGCCATCTCATGGCTGTTCCCTTGATCATTTGTGAAAGGAACATGCTGCACACAGCAACATAGATCTGACCCCCAAAGCTCTTTCCTTCTGAGAAAAGCACTTGGTGAAAACAGTGCATTTATATTTTCCTCTTTAGTTATAAAAATTCAATGTCTAGATACTTAAACGAAATATTTAAAACATTCAATTTAGGCATTCTTAATAATTAAAATGTTTTCAGTGGTAAAAGTTCCTTTAGCTTTTTGTCAAGCCTGGTAACCCTTCTCCGACACCCAACGTGTTACCCTTTGCTTCTGTGCTGCCGTCAAACCGAGCCTAATACAGGAGGCAAGCTACTCCTAAATTAAAGCTGGAGCCGTAGCAGGCAGGAGAGGCAGGACTGGCCTTGCACAGTCTTGAGCTTTGATTTAATAATAACAACAAGAACAGAAAAAATTTTTTCTGCTTTCCCAGCTCTTTGATAAATGACACAATCGATATCCCAACAACTGATGAGTAACCAGCCTAATTAAAGTATTCAGCCTGTAAAATAGAGCTGTCGTGGAACCCTCCATTAGTGTCCCAGCCAATAAAAAATATAATGGATTTTTAAACATATTCTGCTTCTACCAAGATGAGCCGGCAGCAGGGAGGGAAATGTTTTGGGGAAGGGAAAAACAAAATCAGGTCATAACCCATTTTTTAATACCAAGTCTCTAGGCTCAAATAGAATTACAATTGAACCTTGAGCTCATCCCCTGAAAAATATGTTTCTGCTTAAAATGATTTTGATTCAATCAAGGGCTCATTATGTATTCTTCACGAGGTCCTCATCAAAACTGTTTACATATCATGTACATCTGGGTAATGTGGGAGAAAACCTCCAACAACTATGTATTTTGACTTTTCTTAAGTAGCTTCAATTTTTTTTTAATATCAATATAACGTTCAAGCAGCCATTTTGGTATTCTTGCCAAATCTGACTAATTGATTTGCCTGAAATGTGTCAACAGTGCTGAGACCTTTTTCTGGGTTATGACACTTTTTATCGTACTGAACGGTGATTGCTGTTCCACAGGAGAATACACCAAAAACAAGGGTACACAATATATGCTTTGACACAGTAAAATACAAATTTGGGAGATGAAACAGCTGCAATTTTTTTTTTCAATTTAATGAAGATAAGCTGTACATTAGTCTGCTGTCTTTACAAGAAATAATGCTCTTTAATCTTCATGGGTACCACAGAGATTCTCAATAGCTGAGAGTCAAGTGCCAGCTCATTCCCCATGGAAAGCATGTAAATATTAGGGAAACTAAAAATGGATTTTGTTTAAATGTCCTCATAGAAATTGCTTTTTGCCCCAGTTCTTATTCCCGATTGATTTCCTGGTGATCTATGTTAACAAGACACTTCTGAAAATGGGCAACAAACTGCAAGTCTTCTGATGGAATAATGTCAATCTGCCCCAGAGTGTGAGAATTAAAAGGAACCTGCAGGGAAGAGGAATGCAAATGGCAAAGTGTACCGACTCTAACACCTATCCATTGGCATCCACACATATTTTAGATAAAGACGTGCAATCAGGGAAGATCAGAGGTGGGAGCTTAGCTAAATCTTTTAGAACCATATTAATTTATTTTTTTTTTAAATTTTGCCATCTGCATGGAGATGGTCCATTATAGCAGTGTCTTCCAGAATTTTCTATTAGTGGAGGCATCTTTGTTAAAGAAACCTTAAGGGAGATCTAATACTCAGATGTGCAGAAGGGATGACTAGTGCGCTCATAGGCTGTCTGTCCAACTGTCTTCAATAGATGGGTTCCATGGAGTCCTAGGGCTCTGGAGTAAGAACCAAATTAAACCAGATGGGGCCGATTCTCTTAGGGTAGGATGCAGCAGATAAGGGCATATGTACACGAGTAAAGCCCATTAAATATTCATGGGAGACTCTTTCACTTAAGCAGACGCAAATGTTGAAAACGAGTTTGTTCATTATATTTAGTCTCCAGTAATTGGCCAATTTACATTTATTTAACATCTACACGGTTATGTACAGAAGAGTATAAAAGGTACAGTTACTCTTTTCCAATAGCTGATAATATAACAAAGATACAGTTTGTAACTTTACTACTCAAGTTTACTCTCTCAGATGAAGTAGGTCTCAGGTACAACATTTTCATTCATTCAACAATATTTATTAATTGTCTATTATATGCTTGGAAATGAGGATGCATTAAGAGATAAAACAGACAACAGTATCTGTCATCTATAAATACTGAGCACTCAACTATGTATATAGTTACATAGTCAGGAAACAGCAAACCTAATATTTTAACTGAAGCAATTCAAAACTCCAGAGCCCGAGCTTTTAACTACAATGAGCCCCACTATCATCTACTGTTGTTTAATTTGATAAAACTTTTGTTTTTTACATTCTTAAGTTGAACTTATTGTTAAAACTAATTTTAACATTAGTGCTTTTAATAGTGTTCTATTTTCACTTTGCATATTACTGTATTACACAAACGTAATTTGGCCTTAGAGAACAGTAAATAGCCTGATGTCCTAATGTGTGATTCTCTGACGTTTTTCTTAACTTTTAGCACTTTTAACTTTTCTTATCTTTTCCTAAAATAATTTTAGGAGCATTTAATAATTATTATACATATATAAAAGAAAATAATATTTCAGGAAATTTTATATTCATTATTTATATGTAAGTGAAATGTTTAGGGATATTAGCATTCAAGAATATTCCATGCTTACACTTCATGTGTAAGTGAAAATATTTCTGACATGTAAAAAAAAATCCATAAAGAAATCATAAAAAATTTAAAAAAATAAGACTTCCACTTATTTAATAACATGAGCAAGCAGCTTGCCTAATAAATCCAATTTTAAATTAGTTAAGTCTCAGGTCTATATTATTTATGTGCAGATTATGGGGGAGAATACAGAGATCTGATTGCATTATAATGCTCTTCACATTAAACATTGTACACATCTGATTAGGAACTTTCTATGGCATGAATACTGCTAGCATATCAACCAAAAAGTACATAAAGATGTTTATGAATAAATCCAGAGTTCTTGGAATTTCTGGGGGAAAAAAACTAGAAAGTATGGACCTGTTACATTTGATAAATGACTTGCTTTATATGCACATTTTTATACCTTCTCTTTATACCTAAAATATACAACCACCTGTTCCCCGTATAAATCTGTCAAAGCCTTCTGGGGTGTATTTTCCCAACTGGAGGGTCAATATGACTCTGGCTATCATACTAGTAATGGAAATTTGCATATTCTGGTAGCCCTTGGGCAATTTGCTGAGGAAAATAAAGATTTGAATCACCTCCATTGGTCTCTCTGGCCTCCTCAGAATCACCAACTGAATCATCCCTCGTATATTTCCTTCCATGGACATGGATCGTCTAAGTGTTTCCATAGCTTCGTGGTTGGACTTCCCCAAAAGTGATTCCCCATTAACTGCAATCAGCTGGTCATTCATTCGTAGACGACCATCCTACCAGAGAGAAAAGAAAAACAATACTAAACAGAGAAAAGCATGGTGATGACATGTGGCTGTTTCAGGGGAAAAGTTCAAGTTTAGAAATGAAAAAAAAAAAATTCAGCTATTAGAAATAATTTACTTTTCATGGCAGTAAAAGGTTCTAGAGTTTATCGAATAGTTACAAATACTAATAATGAATTGTGTGAAAGTATTTTTTAGAAACCTTAGAGTCCTGAGCAGCAATAATTTAGACATTTGTATAATGTCTCTTACCTAAATCATTGGCAAGCATGCTATTCTAGCCTGATTCTTCCATTTGCTCTGGCAGGGACCATGTTGCTGATTCAAGGGAAGGGGATTTGGAAATGAAAGGAGGTAGTCATATCTTTCGAAATGAGGGTTTGCATTTTCAGGCACAGAGAGACATCATGCTTAAATGCTGCGTACTTGACAGTAGCAATGTGTCTCCCAGATATCATTGCTAGCTCTATTGAACAGTGCTAAGAAAAATCCTCACGTAATTTTCTCTAACATAACCACAAAGTTGCTAGTCGGCAAAAGAACACAGAGGTGTATAGAAAGGGACCGATCTGACTTGATACCTCCTGGCAGAAACGCTTGACAAAGGGAATTGTCAAGCTTTTGGGGGGAGGCTCTGACTGATGAATACTTTCACCCAGCATCTCCAGGAAGAAACATCACTTACTACAAAGTACAAAGAACCTCGGCATATGAATAGGAAACCCTCTGGGTCTAAATCTGGTCTAAGTCACTTCGAGGCACTAATCGTCTTCAGCAAGAAGTCCCTCATAAGCTGGGGTCTCCAGCAGTAGCTAAAAAACTGGGATGCCAGCTCTGGCCTTGCAAGGACTTAAGGGGACCACCGGGCAATTCCCCAATGTGTAGCATGGGAGGAAAGATGCTTAAAATGTTGACAATCAGATTGGGGACATGCCCTATACATATTTTACACTCAGGTAGAAAGTTCTTGCTATGAGGCACAGATGAATTAGGATGTTATCACACCACTCCTGCTGCTGCTAAATTTAACAGAAATAACAGTAAAAACTGTATTAATGTAACAGTCTACGCTTCCAGAGAATTCTTCCATAAATTATCTCGAGGGATTCTCACAGAACCCAGGAATTTTAAGTAGATTCATGTTTTCATAAACATTTTACAGAAAAGGAAAGAGAGGCAGGGAAGTGATGTAACTTGCTTCAGGTCACCAAACCAAGTCAAAGGCAAAACTGACTTAAGTTTGGCATCCATGAATCTTGGCTCTTTTGTTTTTCTACAACAATTCTCTTTGTTACTTGTCTCTAGACTGCAGTTGTGCAACGCCAAAAGAGAGAAAGGAAAATCTTAAAGAATTCTTGTGGTGAGAAGTATCTGGGGTTCGTGGTCAAATCAACAGAATGAAATGCAAAAGAAAACCCCTTCCTAAGGAATGAGATAACCAGACATACACAACGAACAACAGAAACCAACCATACAGCTTTGGGAGAGAAATCCTGTGAACAGGTTGATGAAGTTGGACTAATGCAACAGCAGATGGTCAGAGGAAGTCTCTCCGCTGACAGCAGAGAAGAGAGAGACGGTGGTGAGAGCTGCAGTTCCAGAGGAGAGCTAACGCCTCGTGGAGGCACAGCACATGCCACCTGCTGGAGAGGGTGTCGGCCACACGAGACTGCAGAGGCCACCCAAAGGAGGACACACCTACTTGGAGAAATGGCGATCACAAGGCAATGAGATCAACAGATAAGGGCGTAAAATCGGAGATGCAAACTGTTTAAGTGGACTGCCTCAGCACAGCTTAACGTCCCCTGCCTTCCCCTTGTTTTCCCACTTCACTTAACCTTTACCCTAATTTGGAGCAAGTCTAGAAATGAGATTTACAGGAAAGGCCCAACAAGAAAGAAATCTCTTTATTTCTGTTATCCAATTTTGAATAGGCACATAAAAGAATAAGAGATTAAGACTACACAAAATGAGATAAAACAAAACAACCTAATGGTTTAGTCAAGTGAAATGAGACACAACTGGAGAAATTATTCTGTTCTATTCAGTCATATAATGAAAGGAGGACTACTGAGCTGAACCTCATCACTAAACATCTTTTTAGTGGTTTTTAAAGAGAAGGAAGAACCAGAAGAGTTGGATCAGGGTCCTAACCCTGTTAACAGGAAATGGGGTCTGGTGTTCAGATTGTGGTGCTTAGTCTTTGGAAGACACCTCGTCCACCATGACAGGAAGCAGCAGCTTTATGGGGACCTCTAGAGATGAAGGGAGTGAAAGCCTTCAGACATCCCATCTGGCAACCTCTTGTGAACCTTCCCTGTGAGTTTGAGGCAAGGTCAGAGTGAAGAGGTAGATGAGAGATAAGGAGATATGACAACATTTTTTGTAAAGTTTCTTGTCAATCGCTATTAAGCACAAACTTTTATTTTCAGCTACATTCTAAGTCTCAAGCATGGAGAATTACATTGAAGTAGGACATGTTTACTGTAACCAAGTCCCAAACAAAAAGACAGGTCAGGTCACGCCAGAGCAGCTGGAATTTTTTTTTCAAAGACATTGCCATTCATCACAAGCGTCACCAGAGAGTTGCGGGCATGATAAAAATCCACACGCTCCATTTCCAGGCTTGGCTGGTTTGCTGCTATTGGTGTGTGTTTTTTCTTTGTAAGACAAATGATGGGTAATTTCATTAATGGTGATGCCAGTAAGCACCATGTTGTTCTAACATTTAGAATATAATCACAGAATTTAGAGCTGAAAAGGTCCTCAGAGGTCATCTCATTCAACCTCTTCTGTTTAGAGATGAGTAATGTGATGGCCAAAGGGGATGAAAACCATTTATTGAACACCTAATAAGAGAAGGCACTTCCACATATATTAGGACTTGCTGAGCTAGTTAAGGTCAGAGTTGGAACAGAATAGCCCAAGTCTGAATTCCACTAAACCATTCTGTCTTATGAGTAGTCCCTAAAGCAGTAATCTTCAAGAAAAGACTTTCAAAACCAGAAAGTACAATATACGACTAGACATCTCCTGGAAGAGAACACTGTATGACATCAGAGACACACAACAGAAGGTGTGGAGAAAGGACACTGTGCAGGAGGATGGCAAAGCAAGGAAGCAAGCTGGAGGAGAAAAAAAAAGCTGTCTATCTACCTAACTATATGTCCATACAAGACTAGTCTGTGTCTAGTCTTGACCTAAAAGGAAGCTGACTCAATGAAGAGCCCCTCATTCAAACTCATCAAATATCTCTCAAAATTGAGTATGTCCACTTTGCTCTGGAATAATTTTGATCAAGAAAATTAGCTTTTCATGGTTTTATTTTTTTCTATTATGTTTAAGTAAGCATATAGGCATGAGAATATTAACCCTCAACTAACTTCACATAAGTGAATTCAACTATCCAAAGATGTTACTTAGTAATTCTAGGATATTTATTTCATTGTAATCTGGCTCATGCTTGCATTTGTCACAGAAAAAAAGAAATCCTTTTCTTTCCTACCTTCCTCCCATTAGAACCCTAAGCAAAAAAACCTCAACTATGCTCCCCACCTCTGGTACTCCCCATAACTAACTCTGTCCATCCACAAGCTAGAAAGGAGTCAAGGACATTCCCAAAGAGAAGGAAAAATAGAGTAAGGAGAACAGACTAAAGATAAAAAAGTAACTTCCTCAGGGCACTTCAGGACAAACAGAAACTGGCATGAGGTTACGTCTTGTCTATGTCCTGAGATGGTTTCAAAGCTTATCAGCCCTAACTGGTTTTATCACAGTAGGAAACACAGTGGCCTAGGAGACAAGATCTTTTGAGTATTATAATACATCTCCCTTGTACTGAACACGTAATACAGGCCAGTCCTTGTGCAAATCTTTTGCACACATTTGCTCATTCATTTTTTACAACCACCATGTAAGAAACTCTACTATTAACACTACTCTCTACTATTTAAGAGATGTAGAGATGGAGGCTCAGAGAAATTAAGTTATTTATCAAAGGGTTCTGGCATGGCCAGAACTCTTTGTCTCTAAAGGTAAGGATATGTATCCATTATACTACATTGCTTCTAAAATCAGGGTTCTAGAGATTACTAATGGCAATAATGACAATAATTTTTTTGTTTCAGAATAATACAGGGGTATAAATGTTTTGGTTACATGGATTGCTTTTGTATTGTTTGAGTCAAAGTTGTAAGTGTGTCCATCACCCATATAGCATACATTGTACCCATTAGGTATGATTTCATCCATCTCCTCCTCCCCACTCCCACCTGCATGATTCCCATTGAGTTTTACTTCTATCTGTGCATATGAGTGTTGATTGGTTAGTTTCAATTTAATAGTATACATGGCGTTTGTTTTTCCATTCTTGTATACTTCACTTAGGAGAATGGTCTCCAGTACCATCCAGGTTGTTGCAAAAGGCATTAATTCATTCTTTTTTATGGCTGAGTAGTACTCCATGGTATACATATATCACATTTTATCAATCCACTCATGAGTTGATGGTACTTGGGTTGATTCCGCATCTTTGTCATTGTGAACTGTGTTGTAATAAACATTCTAGTGCAAGTGTTTTTTTGATAAAATGAAAAAAATAATATTTCGTTTGTTTCAGTAGTAGGACTGCTGGATCAAATGATAAGTCTACTTTTAGTTCTTTGAGGAATTTCTATACTATTTTCCATAGAGGTTGCACTAGTTTGCAGTCCCACCAACAGTGTGTAAGTATCTCTTTCTCTCTGTATTCACACCAGCATCTACCGTTTGGGACTTTGCCATTCCTACTGGGGTTAGGTGATATCTCATTATGATTTTGATTTGTATTTGTCTGATGATTAGTGATGTTGAACATTTTTTAATATGTTTATTGGCCTTTAGTTTATCTTCTTTTGATAAGCTTCTGTTCATGTCTTTTGCCCACTTTTTAATAGGGTTGTTTGATTTTTTTTTCTTGCTGATTTGATTATTTGTAGATTTTAGTTATTATC